TATTTAAAAAATAATAAAAATAAAAAATTTAAAAAGAAAAACTTAAAGGTTCAGTGATTTTCTATTGTTATGCGGTAATAAATTTTTAAGCACAATGACTTTCAAATTATTTTCGCATAAATTAAAGCGGATAATCCATTAAATCCTTTATATATCTTTATATTTTTCTTTTTTTTTTCTTAAAAAATAAAAATAAAAACTTTATTTAATCCTAATAAAAGCTGGGAGCGCAATTTTGTCAAATGGATTCGCGTTTATTTACAGCGTCAAAGCGACATTTGCCACCAATTGTTCCATTCAGTTTTCATGGCAAGGAAATAAAAGAATTAAAAATAAAATACCGCAAAACATTTACCGAGTGACTGCAACAGCGACATTAACTGCCATTAAAAACTGCTGCTTATGGTATAAACTAGCAACGAAAAAAATTAACAAAATTACAAAAACACAAAAAATAAAAAACAAATAAAAAATAATGCGAGCGGTAGTGCTCCGCAAAGTATGCAACGCATTTACATAAAATTCTGAATAAAAAAAATTAAATGTGGCAGCACTTGTGAAAGTTATTGTTTATCTCATGCTAGTATGCATTTTTCCTTTTCCAACTCCTTCTCGCTTCAACTTCGGTGTATTTTTGTCAATATGTGTTTTTAGCCACACATTGCATCCGGAACCGGAAACGTTATGTTAACTGTGACAGTCCCATTATTTTTTTTCTATGCTTGCTACTCTCCGCCTTAATAAAGTGCAAAAATTATGCAAGCACTGCCATATCAAAAGGAAACAGTTTGCTATTCAGAGATTTTTTTAAAGCAAGATCAAAAGCAATTACAGTGTTTTTTTTTTGTTACATTTACTGTAGACAAATTAAGCCGTTAGTGCAAATCCTTAACGAAGTAATGAGTTAATTTTGTTTGTAAAGCATGAAGGCGGTAGGGTAATGTGTAGTGGAGCGCTTGAAAATTTACCATATTTCTGTAAGAAAGATTTTCACTTAATTTAGTCTTATACTTCGATATTAACATAATCTCAAAAGATTTTGTTATGTTACAATAAGAATTATTTTAAAGTAAAAAATTGTAATTACTTCATGCTAAAATTGCTTCCAAAAGTGTTTTTATTATAGCGAAGAAGTTGAGTTTTTTATATGAAGAAATTAAAATCCCCATAAGTAGAAGAATTAGAAATTAATTTAGATATATAAGTAGTAGTATGAACATGAACTTCATATGCTGAAACTTTTTTCAATATAAAATTGAATACACATTGCAGATTTATTAAGTGAGCGTTTTATAATATACTGAAGTTGGTATACATTCACAGTATATTCCTGTGCAATGTCATATTCAATATTCTGATAGTCTGTCTATAAAGCATTTCTCAAATAAAAAATTTTTTTAAGTGAATGATATTCTGTATGTAACAAAAATCAAAATTTTTATTTGTTCACCATATGGTATGTAAACAAAAATGCACTTTGTCAGCTTTACATTCAACATAATAATCACACCGATTCGGCTATTCGAAAAAATAATTGAAAATTTCACGACATGTGTAGTCCTTTGAGTTCCAGAATTATTTTCAAGAGTACATTGAGTACACATAGATGAAAGTATTGCAGTCATTAAGGCCAGTGTCGAGAACATCTTATATGAAGAATTCAAAATTATATACGAAAAGTAGGTACTTGCGAAACGATTTTACGAAAAATTTTTCTCAAGTTCTTTAGCTTTCACCCTAGAATTTTCGTTTAAACAGTTTTGAAACCCATTCATTTTTCAGTGCAAAGTCTGATTGTTCCACTTTTCATAAGTAGCTCTATCTATCAACAGAACTACCGCATTTGGTTTTAAATTTTAAACATATCAATACTTATATCTATATACATTATATATTCAAATAATAAACTTTGCTGTGATTTAAAGCTTTTTGAAATCACCGAAATATTATTCTTTAAAAACGAAACATAATCTGTGACACCATCTTGTCATATGTAATTATAGAGAAACCATGGTCTTACTCAATGAAATATTTGATTATATATTATCTACAAAAGATAATCAGACAAGCAAACTGTAATTTTATTTTTAGAAGATTTTTAAAAGACAACAAAAAAGAAGCAGAAAATTTAACCTCCAGGGTGGAGTTGTTAAGACGCTGCAGTGTCTGTATTATGACTGAAATCATTTTTATCGTCATGCTATAAAATTATCTACCTTTCAAAAAAAACTAACTTCATCTTTTATATACTCACCTAGATTTCTTTACTTAAGAGAGATGAGTTAAACAGCAAGGCACTAATCTTATTTGATAACTTTGCTTGCCTTCAATTATTTTGATGTCCTTATACACAGATTAATATTTGCGCTTCTTATGCTTAAGCAATTATCAATAGTACTACATCTAGGTTAGGCTAAGTTATAACAGTGAACGTAAAGATCAATTTATGACTAAAAACACAAATTTTAAGGGTTTGAGCTACATGGAACCTTTAATAAAACCAAAGATCTTAAGATCCTTTAGGAATTGTATTTAATCTTCGTTAGTTGTGTATCTAACCTTAAAATGCTTTTTTTTATGTAAATAAAAATTATTTTATTTATTTAAAATGTACCATTTGGAATAATATATGGTACATATACATATTATAAGAGAAAATAATAGCAAATGATTATAATAATCACGGTCTTGTTTCTTACAAAATTCTAGTTTCCGCTTTAGGTCACTGAAAATTTAATAGCTTATTTGACAAGTGCATCCGTTTAGTTCTCACTTGCCACAAACCAATGACGTTTTTTGTAACACGCCAACCAACTCACGCCAACCACAGAAATTAGACTGAAGCGGAATGATTGCAGAAAACTCAAATGCTCAAAGCTTTACACTAACACCAAGAAAATTATATAATATAAACTAATGGGTTTCTGACGCCTACAGTGCCACCTAACGTCAGCACAACAACGTACATACGGCAAAAGTAAAAAAAAATTGTTGCATGCAACATGGTCCTCCCGCACAGCTGCGGTGATTTTCAATTAAAAGGAAATTTCCTTTGGGCAAGAAAATAAGCGTCACAAGAATAAATTTTTGCTTAAAGCTAAAACACGAATATAAAATGTTCTAACTTTCTTCACTTGTGGTTTTTGTTATTTTTTTTATATTGTAAAATATAATAAAAAATTATAATGCGAAAGCAGATAATAACTTTAGTTGCACGATATTAGAGCAAACTGTGCGCCAAATTAGAATCCTTACACGAGACAGAGCAATGATTAGCTTCCAGCAAGTTTAGATAATGTAAATGAAAACGTTTTAGATAAAGTAAAAATTTTTCAAAGAACAGGGATGGTACGTATTGTCCACTGTGGCGTATGATTAATATTTGCTATTAAAATTAAAAGTAAAAGAAACAACCATTTGTGATAGCAGCTGCTTTTCATAATTTTTCACTTTAATTGTTGGAAAACTTTGAGATACCAAAAGATAAACTGACTATAGCCTGATTTGATGCACATCGGCTTAAGTGTTATTAACATAATTATTCTTTTAATTTGTTTGTTGTTTTCTTAAGTCTTTATAAACTCAAAACTCGTGAAGGATATCTTAATTTCTTCTTAACTTTTTTATTTGAAAACGAGTAAAAGTAATTTAAAAAACTTTTTTTATGTCAAAAAAATCTACACATGGAATTTGAAATTAAGCGTAAATATTAGAGTTTAAAGCTGTATGACGGCATGTCAAGACTTCAACATTTCTCGACGTTTTAATTACGTTTGAAATTATTGACACTTTACGGTAATGAGTTTTTATTATAGAAATATGTTGAGAAAGATATTTTTATACAATGGGACTTTAGAAATCATATAAAAGGAATATGTTTGAATAATAAAAAAAAAACAAATAAAAATGAATCGAAAAGTTGCATTAACTCCAACAAATTTCGGAAAAAATAATTAAGTTCCAATCTTAATATGACATCAACATACATTACAAATTATATAAAATAATACAGTATGTGGAATTAAAAAAAGTGCATAAAAAGTTTTATAAACCAGTTATCCTTTTATAGTTTGAGTTGTATTTCTTAATACACAATTTCCAAAATATCTCAAATTTCCTTTAAATTTAATAAGTCGATTGTGAAAACATTAGGCCAAACTCGCCTTCTTGTTTTTTTTCTAATATTGTTTTGCGATATTTAAATTCCATATTTCTATATTTGGCAATATTTTTGAATGGAATATTAGATAAAATTTAATTAATACGATTTATAAATCCTTAACGATTTATAAAATTTGAAATTTTTTAAATCTAAATTAACATATATTTATTAATCAATTAAATATTTATATTAATATAGATATTTAGCGATCTAACCTAGTACAATCTATATGCGTTTTTCAACAAACCATCAAAGAAAATATATTTCTGTAGTACTTGAAACTAATTTCTTTTGAAAATGTCATTATTTTTAACTGAATTTTCTTTTAGATATTTTTATATTTAAATTATATTTAACTTAGATCCAAAAAATTACAGTTTGGAACTTTAAAAAAAATTTTTGATAATCATAAGATCATAAGCGAAAAAGCCACTTAATTTAATATTATTTAATTTTCTTAAGTATCTATTTTTGCATAGTATATATACAGTTTCTTTTATTAATTAATTAACTATTAAATATAAACTTTTTAATTTAACTATAAATTTCTTTTAATTTTTTAATTATTTTTTTTTTTATTTTTATGTTTCGTTTTCGCTGAATTTGTTTCCTGCAACACAAAAAACAAAACCTACAAATTGCATGCCACTTATATAAATGTTAATTAAAAAAAATGAAAACTAACAAAATATCATGAAACTGCACGCCTCATCGTATTCATCAACAACAACAAAAACAACAAAAATCTACTTCTTCTTTTTTTTTTGAAACATTTTAATGTGTATAATTATTCTTAAATTTTGTGTAAACATATAAAAATCAAAATGAATTGCAACAGTTGGCATGTTAAGCTCACCAACCAATTTTTTTAAAGAACCACCACTTTTGGGACCAGGTGCAGCGTTCCCACCATTTGGTACACCAGAATTTCATCCCACCACACCTGAAAACTGGAAGGGCGCCACTATACATCCAACCGGACTTATGAAGGAACCAGCAGTCGTTCCCGGTCGCAATGCACCAGTAACTTTTGCTACACAAGGACAAGCACAGGTGAGTTAAAGCAACAAATAAGAATTTCACGCACATATTTTAAACACAAATGTTGGATATATGGTATATTAATTTCATGAAATTTATTTTATTTTACAATTATTTTAACAAGTGCATTTGTGCGCTTATATTGACTGGCAAATATGCTCTGTTACAGCACTTCAATATGCAATCGTTGGTTAAATATTGCATATGCAACATGTGTGTATACAGAAATTTAAAACTGCTCCATTTATTCAATATTTTCAGTCATTCTTTTATGTGCATTTAATTTTTCTTTTTCATTTTATTATTTTATTTCAAAATTTAAAAAAAAAATTTTTTTTTGTTATGCTATTCTTGTAAATATTTTATTTACTTAACTGCATTTGATCTCTAGGGTGCTGTTATGATGGTTTATGGACTGGACCACGACACATCGAACACAGATAAACTATTCAATTTGGTTTGCTTATATGGAAACGTTGCAAGGGTGAGTATCACAAAAATATTTATACAAATTAAATTTATTTCATATAACTCTAAGTGGAATTCATTATTAAAAATTTTTTAAAAATTTAATTATTATTAAAATTAAACAAAATATTAAAACAATGTAATTAAAATTCACATAAGGAATTTAGATATCCTTAAGCACAAAAGTCCTTTAACACCTGATTTGTAGGCCCTTTTTTCATTATTTTCTTTAGTTTTTTGTTAAATAAGAAAAAAATAATTAGCTCACCTGCTTTAACTTAAAAAAAAGGTATCCTTTTATTAGATAAAAAGTGAAAAAGTTACAAAGAATTTAAAATAATTAAATTACGGAAAAGCTTACTTAATATTTTCACTCTTTATTAACCTTTAAGGACTGCAAACAATTTTTTGAGTTCCTCCAAATTCCCCCATTTAAAAGAAATGAACAATTTTGCAATCAAATTGGAAATGGATTCTATTTATAGCAATCTTGCACTATCGTCCTTTCAAATGCAGGAATTTTATTACTGAACTATATTCAATTTTTTCCATTTTTTAAAAAATTTAACAGCTAACCAAACATCTGACGAAGTCGACTCTTTTTCAGTTCTCATTTAAAACTTGCCAGATATATAAAATAATTGATATAATTGATAATTTTGAATTGATTTTGTAATCACCTGTAATTGATTTTGTTCACCTGTTGTGAAGTCAGGTACTTATTAGTCCTACTAGTACAATAGAGGAAAAAGTTGCTTAGAATATTGCATATGAGTAAAATTCGTTGTCTATTCGAAGCAAGCCGAAAATCGAAATCCTTGATTGATTTAGAACACAAAGCAGAAAAGATCAAACTGTGTTATTTCTAATAAATTTATTTTAAAGGTTAAACTTTTTCATATAAATAGAATAAAATTTTCTTATAGTGCATAAATATTTCATTAAATTATAATTTGTTCATTCTGAGTTATTAACTTTTACCATTTTTCTGCTAGTGACATAATTCAACACTAATAAAATGTTTGTCCTTTGCTAGTAAAAAACTGATTAAGAAAATTTTTGACTTCTTTATTTAAAGCAAAGCTTTTACCGAAGGTGTCAGATCTAGAAAACATAATGGGTAATAGCTGTAATAGATTTTGACATGTTACCAAGCTTTTATGAGATGTTCCGTTATATTAGTGAACCTTTTCTATTGATCAAAACAATATTTTTTTGTTTATATGAACCATACAATTTGTCTAATTACTGATAATACAATTCAGAATTACTCATTACTTTGTGTGGAAGAAACTATTATCACCTTTATTTGAGAGGTTTCGAAGTGCTGTGAGCCATTTTATCTTTTTTAATTCATAAGTTCTCGCGTTTAATTTTGAAATTGTTGATTTTTACTCCATGATTTTTCACGTTTAACATTGTTATAGATAGCCTATTTCTCGTTTCCAATGTGAAAAGCAAATCGCAAACATCCACACGACAATACAAATTACTGTCCTTAAAAATATAAAAAACCCTTATATTGAGATTAAACATAAGCGTTTCGAATGCTTAGAACGGTCGAGTTCGAGAAATTTAGTCTATAAAAAATTTCCACCAATTTACATAAGTGAATGTCTTTATTTTACATTTATCAGTTTCAACTGACCTGAAAAGGTCACCTTTAAGATCAAAATTGTAGGATCGAAATTGTTCAACTTCTCTATTCTTATCGGATAATACATATATTGCTTCAACAGAATTTTAATCTATTCGATAGTAGAAAATACTTTCAATATTCAAAAGGGTGTTAACCAAAAGCTATTGTGTAGAATCAATCGAATTTTGTTCTTGCTACATCAGCTATATCAAAATATATAACGATCAAATCTTTTGGAAAAATAAAAAATCACTTTCCGAAAAATCCAACCCGATTTTTAATTAAATACAAACTAGAATTAGATATTAGATTTTAAACAATTTAAATACTTATTACATTATTGAAGTTCTAAATTATTTTCACAATAAATACAATACATAAATCATCATCTATAAATCATTGTTCATATAACTTACTCCGTAATATTCAATAAATCTATATCACGTCTTATACATAGCAGTGTAGTGAATATTTGTTCACTGCTCATGGGAATGGAAAAATTGAACGAAAAACTCAAAATATTTCTAAATATTTAGATCCAATGCAATAAAATTTCTGCATAAGTGAAGGACACATTTATCTAATAAAGATCTAGTGAAGGATAATTTACGCATTAATGTATCATGTAAATCGTATATATAACTTCCTATATGTGTTATATTTTTAAATTTTTATATTTTCATTTCTATATGTTTAAAGTACATAGAAGATATTTATGCACATAAAATGCTTTTATTTACTTTTTTATTTATTTTTATTAAAATGCACTCAGCAAATGCAAAAGTTTACGATTCAACTTGACTACTCATATAATAAACAGCTTTTATTATCCTCATCCTCGTCCTCGTTCAATAAAAAAGAATTTTAATTTCAAAAAAACGTGGAAAATCAGTTACTTATATTTATGTTACTTAAATTTAATGTCCATACTTAAGTCGAAAGCTCTAAAAAAAATTATAAAAAATAATAAAATATATATGTATATAAAATAAATACAATAAAAATCTAAAGTAAATATTTTTCAATACTTAAAACAAGTGCGTAGTATCTTAAGTGCTGAAGTTCTATCTCTTGGCAATAATAAAAGGTGAACGACAATTTAAAAATATGTGACAGTAAGTGAAAAGTAACGCACATCGGTGAATATTTATGAGACATCATTTATTTAATATTTTATACGAGTACGAGTATCTGGAGTTGGAGCGCTAACACAAATACGTGCATACCTACATATAGTATCTGAACTTCGGAAGGGACCTTATGTGCTGGAGGGTTAAAAAATAACAAACGAATTAATTTAAGAATTCGTCCAATATTGCAAAGCAAATGTCAGTTTAAAGTCACTTAAGGTGGCCAATAGTAAAAATAATGAAAAAAATAACTTCACAATATCCTTGCTTATCCTTTTTAACATAACCTTATCATTTTTATTTTATTTTAAATTAGTAGCGAGGGTTTGTGCAATTTGATTTTATATTTATGTGATTTTCTTAAAATTTCTTGAGTGTTGTGTATGTGTTTATTGTTGGTTATGTCGCTTATGTCGGTTATGTTGGTTACGTTGGTTATGTTGTTGACTTTCCGCCATATAGCTAAGCGTTTTTGGTTTCATTAAACGATGACATTATTAAAAATGTTTATTTTGCTCACATGAGTTTGTCATTAAGTAAGATTGAGTATATGGACTTTTTATAGGATTATATCACTCACTGGAGATAAATCGGGTGTGTTTAATGATTGGTCTTCGTACATGTTTGGCGTTTGCAATAAGGGAGTATGATTGTAAATGATTAATGGTCACATCAACAATAAACTGATACAATCTTAAAATAAAAAACAGGATATTAGATTGGCTTTGTAATTTGATATAACGTTTTGTTTTCTAGTTTTCTTAGCAATATTGTTGAAATATTTCACTATTATCATAGAAAGAAAAAAACTGTTGAAATAGCCAATTTAAAAAAAGGAAGCCGAATATCTTTATTATCTTAGGGTACTCAATCAAAGTTTTTGCAGCAATATATCAGATAGTGATTTAATTGGCATGATAGTTGTCATATACGACCTTAAGTAAACAATTCAGTTGTTGATACAAAGTTTTCCTTCACAAATATTTAAGTGATCAAAATAAATTCTTTGTTTGTTGTTTTAGTGGAGTTTATGGTACTGCAGCTAGCACTCATCTGCTATGCACAGTTAAGAACCTGAAACACCAACTGTAATAGCATCCACCACTCCATTTTTTAATGAAGAAATTTATATTCTATTACGGAAAATCTATTTCGAGGAGAACATGATTGGCAACAGTGAGAAATTTTCAAAATCCAAAAGTTATTTTTTTTATATTAATTTTTTTTTAGCGAAATTGACGCGTCTTATGATAAAAAAAAATTATTTAAAAGTGAGAAGCGTTTGAATAGAAATAAAAAGACAACAACAAAAATTTAAATAAATTTATTGATCGAATTTAATTCGGAAAAAAATAAACATTAAGAAATTAGAATTATAGAAAATATGAATAATCCAGCTTTTCCTGCTCACGATTAGCTAACTTTTAGCGTAACACTTGCATAGCTTATTTGTAAAATTGCACTCAAAAAAGGCGTTTTACTATAGTGAGTAAAAATATGCATAACAGATGTCTATGCAAAAACAATAGGCAACCACAAGAATTAACTTTCAATTCGTGGAACTTGTGTTTCCATAATAAGCTCGTTTAATTTAAAGCACGGCAAATGCTTTAGTTAGAGTCACTTAAAAAATAAGAAGTGACAAAAAACTTGGAATTTGAGCATTGAAAATTTGTGCAGCCTTGGGTATTTGTGGAAAGATATGATTACTCTTCGCTTATAATTTAACAGGCATGAGTTCTAAGGCTGGCATTTGCACTCCAAACAAATTATATTTGGACTATAAACTAATTTAAAAAATAATTCGAATTCATAACATTACTGATTGTGCACTTGGCAATACTCGAAACAGCGTTGTATGGTTAGCCAAACTTCAATAAATTAACTTGAATTTTTGTTGTTGTCTTTGCATTTCTATTCGAAGCCTTCTAAATATTTTTTTAATCAAGTTTTTCACCTATTTTGGATATTGCCGAAATTTTCTTTATCAGTAGTGTGTTAGTTTATCTATTCGTATATTATTATTGGACTGCAAGTGTCACGATATTGTGCCCTATCAACGTTTAATTTTTAAATATTATATTAACTTTATACTTAGTAAACAAGATTATCTTAAACTGAAACTATAAGCATGATTGAAATTCAGTAGTGTCCAGTTTTATTACACGCATTTAAAATTTTTGCAATGATAAACAAATTTTTCGTCAAAAATAGTTTCAGAAATAGCTGGGTCTATTAGGAGACTAC